ATTCGAACCTGCCACCTTAGGTATATGTGGCTGGCGCCTTAGCCGCTTGAGCCACAGGTGCCGAGCCTATTTTATTTTTTGAGACAGAGTCTCACTCTGTTGCCCAGGCTAGAATTCATGGCCTCAGCCTGCCTCACAGCAACCTTAAACTCCTAGGCTCAGGCTATGCTCCTGCCTGAGCTTCCTGAGCAGCTGGGACTATAGGCACCTGCCTCAATGTCTGGCTAGTTTTTCTATTTTTAGTAGAGATGGGGTCTCGCTCTTGCTTAGGATGGTCTTGGACTTCTTAGCTCAAGGGATCCACCTGCCTTGGTCTCCCAAAGTGCTACGATTACAGGTGTGAGTCAGCATGCTCGGCCACTGACAGTTTCAGTTTATCTGTCCCTACCTTCTTTTCACCCCTATCTGGGAACTGCTGATAAAAGGGGAGGAAGCCCAAGGGCCAAGGCTGAAGAAGGGCTCTGTGCCCTCACGTCTGAGAAGGGCATTGCTGAGGGCAAAGCATGGGCTGGTTCTTTGAGGAAGGAGAGAGAGGCTGGGAGGGAAGGCAGGGTGGGTGGGCTTCTTAGTGCAGGGGCCTTATTTGAGTTGTTTACAATCCAATTTTAAATATTTATACATATATGTAGCATATTATATGTTACATACTTTAACAAGTACACAATAACAACAGAGAAAACTGCCCCTCACCCTTACCCCCAGCAGCTTGGTGTCATCAGGTCCTCGTGTGTTATTTCAGGCATGCAGAAGTATGTAGAAAGCCCTTTTTTTTTGAGACAGAGTCTCACTATGTCACCCTCAGTGCAGTACCGTGGCATCACAGCTCACGGCAACCTCAAACTCTTGGGCTTAAGTGATTCTCTTGCCTCAGCCTCCCAAGTAGCTGGGACTACAGGCACCCACCACAATGTTTGGCTATCTTTTTTGTTGTTGTTGCAGTTGTCTTTGCTTTTAGCTGGCCTGGGCCGGGTTCGAACCCACTACCCTTAGTGTATGTGGCTGGCGCCGTAACCACTGTGCTATGGGCGCCGAGTCTGTAGAAAGCCCCTTTTACCGTGCTTCGAATTTTATACAAATAACAGCATAACACACATAGCAGATAAACTCTGATCCATCTGGGCATGCACAGAGCCTCCCCAGTGGGTTTTTAGAGGTACAATGAACAGATGAACCACAATTTAATTCATCGGTGTGCTCTGGCTGGGCTCCTTGGTTTGTCTCCAGTCTCTTGCTAGAGCAAGCTATGTGGTAACTAACACGTTGCCTTTTATATGTGGCATTTGTCACCCATGTTGATATTAGAAGACTCTAATTCTAGAAGCAAATGTTTTTTTGTTTTAGACAGAGTCTCACATTGTCACCCTTGGTAAAGTGCCCTGGTCTCATAGTTCACAGAAACCTCAAATTCTTGGGCTTAAGCAATCCTCTTGCCTCAGCCTCTCGAGTAGCTGGGACTACCGGTGCCCACCACAACACCCAGCTAGTTTTTCTATTTTTAGTAGAAAATAGACACTGTCTTACTTTTGCTCAGATTGGTCTCGAACTCTTGAGCTCAAGCAATCCACCTGCACTGGCCTCCCAGAGTACTAGGATTACAGGAGTGAGCCATTGGGCCTGGCCTCTAGAAGCAAACTGTTGAGTGAAACAGAGAAAGAGCACAGGCTTTGGCGTCACACAGACCTGGGTTCAAATCCCAGTCTGCCTGTTCAGTGCTATTGTATTGAGCTGTGTTTATCTGACACATAACTGTAATATGAGCTCAGGAGAGTGAGAAAGAGAGGTGGGTTCAGACAGACCAGGAGAGAATTTATATGGTACTAGCAGCCTAAGCCCTTCCAAGGCCTCCAAGGAGACCCACAGCGGGTAGAGGATGGGGACATGATGGACAGGTGGCATCAGTTCTCTTGAGTCTGTCGAGTGGGAGGATCTCAGCCCACATAGTGGGGTGCTGGTGCTTGAACATACACATTTTTGGTACAATGAGGCCTCTAAATGCCAAGTCCATCACCTGGGACTTCTGAAAAATGAGCTGCCTGCGCTGGTGCTGTGGGGAAACTGGCCCGGACACAGACAAGCGTGTAGGGCAGAAATCATACAAGGTCAAAATGCCTCCTGAAAAATTTGCCAGGGTTGACTTAGAACTGAATCCCTTCATGTAGGACAGGATTCTGCTGGGCTGGCTGTGAGGTCTTGGGCAAGAGGAGCAAGAGATGCAAATTCTCTGAGCCTCAGTGGCCCTGGCTATAAAATGGGAGAATCCATATTTCTCTCCCTGTTTTCAGATTCAATGTTTTTCTTTCATCCATCCATTTACCTACCCACCATCATTTCCATCCACCCTACCATCCATCCATCCGTTATTCACTCATTTATCCATCAATGGTATACTCTACATTAGGCCCATTTTGGGTGCCAAGAACCTCACAGCTCCTGCCCTCAAGGTGTTTACAGTCTCTCACAGTGGATAACATAGCCATACATAACATTTCCAGGTGGCATTAGGGGAGGAACTTTAAAGGAGGCATAAGGGGGAGGGCGCTCCTTATCCGGCTCTGGTGGGAATCTGCTCATGCCTACATCTGCATCTATGTTTCTAAACCTTTATCTGTTCCCAGGTCTGTGTGTCCATCAGCCTATGTCCACATGTCTCTCATGTGTTTTTGTCTTCAGATCTCTGTCCCCATATCCATGTGTCAGTGTCTTTGTGTCCTGGCCTGGGTGAGCACTCCTGACTGTGTCTGAGTCCAGCTGTAGGCCCCTGCGCTCCGTAACTACTTTAAGCCACAATCTCCACCCCCAGGGCTGACAGGTGCGCTAGCACCCAGGACACCATCTGCATCCACAGGGGGCACGCCCTGCTGAGCAGATGCTGTCTTTATCTTTACCCTCCTCCCAGGGAGGACCCATGGCGTGTGGCGAAAATGGTCAAGTCCTACCTGCAGCAGCACAACATCCCACAGCGGGAGGTGGTGGACACCACCGGCCTCAACCAGTCCCACCTGTCCCAGCACCTCAACAAGGGCACGCCCATGAAGACACAGAAGCGAGCCGCCCTGTACACCTGGTATGTCCGCAAGCAGCGAGAGGTGGCCCAGCGTAAGTAACGACTTCATTCCCTGTCTTCCCTGGCAGGGTCTAGGACTCTCCCCAACTCCTAGGTGGGGGCTGGAAGCTTCACTAGCCCCATTACACAGACAGGTAGACTGAGAGGAAGTCACGGGGTTCCACCCTCATTTATTACCTATTCTGCACCAGGCAGTTTGGGGGAGGAGAGTAGGACTGGTTTGGGGGAACCAAAGATGGATGAAGCTCTGGGTTCCTGACTTCCAAGAGCTCACTGTTAAGTGGGAAAGCAGGAGAAAAGATCACTGTGATCCAGTAAGACACGTATTATAATATAGCAACAGCAATAGCAACACTATGATAGCTAGCCATCATCAAGCATTGGTTGTGTGCCAGCCTCAGTGCAGAATATTACACAAAGTACTTCAGAGTGCTGAGCTGACTGCAGAGAAGGGAGTAATCTATTCTTCCAGGAGGCAGAGGCATCAGGAAGGTGTGCACTAGAAGTATGA